GCTGGCGAGAATCATATCATTCTTCGACAAACCGCTGACAATTTTCTAGAAGCATTTTTGTCGCTGCCGTCTGATGCTTGTATCAGGGCCTTATTTTACAGTAGCATTTTGCTTGACATGCCTAGTATGCATGGGACGGATTAGTATCTTTTCAGATATATCTTCAACGGAAATAGCTGCGCGTTTTACCTGAGAGCCGAGAGGGAAGGTACGCCGACGTCATGCAACCTGCTGTGACTTAACTGCCAAAATTTTCTTGTCCTTCTCATTCAGCGTTTCATTTCCAATAGATAAAATTGGGTGACCGCCAGTGCGTAAGGTCCATACTGTCTAACAGTACTGCAGGAGTCATCCGGCTAATCCTTGCTGGATTAGGAACAAGCAGTTAGCATGTAACAAACCATATCTCACAAAGTTGACTGCCGGCACCGCAGACCCCGTAGTTCGATGCTATGTCATCTGCTTCGAGCGACATGTCACAACTCGTTTCTGCGGGAACAGTAAATTTTTTTCACCCCGCTTGCAAAGTAGGTGACTCAGCAACAGATGTGACCATTATGAATCGTAGTTCATGTCGGACTGAACAAATTAAGTTTGAAGCGGGTAAATTTGTTTCCTTAACGAAGAGGTTCTTTTCCGTTTAAAAGAGTGTAGTTCGTTTTCAGGCTTACCGCCACGTTTGTGACACCCGATGGAAAGAAGTACTCTGGATCAGCTAAGACCGGTGACACTTTGCTGGATGTTGTTATAAACAACGATATTCCTTTAGACGGTTTCGGTAAGCGATGAGAAGTGTTAAATGTTAATTTTATGTAATTATTTCGTTTTTGTTCCTTCTGCAGGCTGATGTAAAACAGTAAAACAGACCCAACAAATTTCAATGATCGAAGCAAATTTTTAACAATGCTCCAAATCAGCGGGGCCTTCGAAACTTGAAACGATGAGTAAACCGAAAGAAATACGTTGGTGAGTTTCAGAAGCGTCGCTGGTTTCGTGTATTATGAAACATTTACTTTGGACTTTAAGCCATGCTTTACTACGTTTAATGCTTTTCTGTTCGACTAACTGGATTATTATTCAGTAAATTAGATTTTATGATGACACTGAATTAGTATTTTAAACGTACTGATTGTCGGCAAAGCGATACTCTCCTCTCAAACAAATGAATCTTACTGTACGTCTGCTGGAAGCAATTCGATTTCTGCCTTATTTTCATGCCGGGATCAATGGCTTTTCATCGTTTCAAAGTAAATTAATGAGTGCTTCATTGTGGCAAGGAGTCTAGATAATGCACTTTATAACGATTACTGTCATATGCCGATATTACCTTCTTGGCACTCAGAAAGTCAAACACTTCCCATTAAAGGCATAAAACAGCTCAACATCGCATTCTGTGCTCCATGAACAAAGAATGCTGCAAGCGGCGCTGCTCTTGGAAATGCAAATCCGACTAACATTTCGATTGCTACATTTTTCTGTTGTGGAGTTCTCTGTTGATGTGATAAATGGTGGACAGCGGCGATGAAATCATTCACCTAGGTGAAATCGCCTCAATATCGTCGAGATCTCAGTCACCGTAGTTATTCCCATGCTGTTTGCTATGTGCTGTAGGTCTTCGTAGCACCTGGGAATACGTTCCCTCGTGGGTTATGGATTGTGACCGCAATCTGATCGCTGCCTACATGCACTAAAACAAAACGCGACGTCGAACTTGATAAACGCGTGGTATTTAACTTGGATACCTTTTGTTTATTTTTGTGTAATTTTTAACCGAGCTCATTTCAGGTGCTTGTGAAGGCACACTCTCCTGTTCGACATGTCATGTGGTTCTGACAAAGAACGACTACGACAAGTTAGAAAAACCTTGTGAGGAAGAATTGGATATGCTGGATTTGGCTTATGGATTGACTGAAACGTAAAATTTAAAATTCGCCACTGTAACGCGTTATTACATTTGACGAGAAAGCTGAGGTTTGATTAAAAGTGGGAATTGCTAGCAATGGCAGAGGTGAGAGCAGTGCCCTGGATCTAGCATAACACAGTGACGGAATGAAAAAAAGAAAGGAACGGGGAGCGTGGACATTGAGAAAAAATAGTTTCCGTAATTTAATTGTTAGCATGTTTTCCCCCAGTGGAGCGGTAAGTCATTATTATTATTGCAGAATTCTGCGCCTAGATCTGTTAATATTTATTGAGTCGTAATTTTCTGCAGTGCAACGTTCTTCTTTCGCTGCGGCTCGTGTATCTCTTGAAACGTTTCTGCTGATTCCTGTGAAATTTTTGAAGGTGATTTGGGTTCCGTTTGAACTATCACAGATAATAAATTGCACGCCAAAGTGTATATTATCAATAATCAGAATAGTGATGTCTGCTGCAGTAACAAATAACAATAAGCAGATTAAAAAGAGACTAAATAAAACGATAATAAATTATGAACGTAACTTACAGTCGATTGCTAAACGGCAGGTGCATGAAAAATGTTTTTTTTTGCGCAACGGGATGAAGACGCGATGTACAAGTTTTGACGACATTCTTAGATTCTGTTTTCCAGGATTTAACCATCCAAGTCGCGAAGGATCTTATTTTCTCCATTTCTGAGCATTCTTCATGTCCATGAGTTTCTGACAATGAAAAGAATTGGTAATGCTTTCTTTAAGGATTATTTCGGATGGTGACCTTAGTCATTCAAGCTATGTTTGTAATGGAGATATCCTCATAAAAAGATCTGTCTTAAACCTCGGTCAGTATCGTCAACCTTCGTTATCACTGCTTAAGTGGCCGATCGTTTCGGGATTCATGGCCTTTCTTAACGGTTCCTGCGTTCGTTGTGCCGTATTTAATTCTGTTTTTGAGCTGGCGCTATGTGGGCTGTCCAGATTGAGTACTCTAAGGAGCGATTATGGATGGCAGTAACATGACATGAGCCTAAGTACAGTGACCTGCGGTTTATGTTAATATCGTTATCAGCATTCCAGAATCATGTTTGAACAACTTAGCTGTTAATTAAGTTATCCAGAACTTCAAATTTCAAAAATTGTTACTCAACGAATGATCCAGGACATCAGCGAATAACGCTGACATCCAGCAATTCCAAATATGTTTTATTGAAGTTTGCAGCATTCTTGTTTAATGCATGTACTCCGCTCCTTGTAGCAGCATCATCAGGCTTTGCAGTATTTCTGCTGTAGCTAACCTTTTCATCAGTGGTTGATCCCGCTCAGCCTAATTGCACTACTATCACACTGTCGGCGACTGTTCTGTGTTACTGCTAGTCTTTCTCGCAGCTGACTACCTATCAGAGAGTTATCCCACTGTTCGCATTCAGTACACTGAAATGCGCTTGATTTTGCCTCGTTTAGAAAACCAAAACGAGATGTATTACCACAGCTGACACCGTTCGGTTGAATTCCTGGCGTCGCAGCTTATTGAGCGTCAAGCTTTTCCCTGCTTGCGACGAAAGCAAGACCACTGATCATGTTATCTCTTTATTGTCAGAACAGTGGAATCTATACATACGATCTGTATATTGTATATATAGTCTTATCTCTTTTAAAAGAGACTTGACAGGATTCGTGCAGCAGTCTAAGATGTGTTGTACTTCTAAGCTGGTTTATTTCCAAATCATGGTAAGAGTGGTTTGGAAGCCAAAAGAAGGACTTGCATGACAGTTTTTATTCCATGCCTCTGATCAGCTATATTGATGACCTTGTGTGTTCAATATTCCACGCCGTGGAATCCACTCTGAAAAGCTTGTATCGTTGGCGTAGGATCGGTGGAAAACCTCTTCAGACTTCTGTTTTCGCAGTTCAAAGGAAACGGTCACTCTCCTACTGCGAAGAACAGCAGTTTCTTTCCATTTCCTAATATCATCTTTTGGGCGTAATATAAATCTCCGTCCATCTGGCTAGCTTCTGACTCGTTTTTCTCTTTTTCTCCTTTCGGATAGTGGGTTTCATGTGATAAATAATTAATACGCATGATCGCCATAGTTATTCATTTTGATATCATTGCCTCATTAGAAGAATGTTTGGGCGATCCGTGACTGGTCTTCATACTAACAATAGACTCCGCTGTACTGGCACGCGATCCCCCGATCCCTTATTTAATGAAAGGCTGGATGTTGGATTTGTAGATGGCGCCTATTCGTGGTTAAGGTTTCAGTGACCAACAGTATATCTGACCACCGGCTTAAGTTTATTACAGTTATACGCCCTTTGCGGCATTTACATCCGAGGGCAGTTTTTCTACACTGCCCCGCGATATAAACTTTATCGAGTTCTCGATACACTCCAGTCGTCATCTTTACCTTCGCGCCTGCTAAAAGATAACCACAGATACTGATTACGATTGCTGACGCATCATAAGTCTTTGTATTGTCAGTGCCAAGAGAATGTTTCCTTTCATAGGAAATCTTTTGCTTCCATGGCTGGCAGTACCAAAATGGGAAAGGCTTTATTTCGCAATAAACATCGCGGTGAACGAGGCAGAAAAACCCAGTTTACAGCAGTGATTTGGCTAGCATCGCACAAGACATTTAGTGCCAGTTTCACTGATGAAAGTAGTTGCTCGACACGTTAGATTTCAGATATTAAAAGTATATCCAACCGTTTTGCAGCTATGTCGCCTTTCAGCTTAAGTCAATCGCACTCTGGATATTTTTCTTTTCTCGATTTGATGTTTTTAATTTTCTACCGTACGCTCATCTCGCGCACTTTTTTCCACTTATCATGTAGCCCTAATAAAAGCAACAGGCTGTCCAGTTTCACAAATGTAAGCAGACCATTTTTCAAAATCAACCTACTTTGTCCCACATCGAGATCACATTGCCCATAACCCTTGTTCTTGTTTCAAACTGTTGTTCGAGCTGGCAAGAACTCCACAACCTTGTTGTTTCACTATCTTGCTCATGGCTCACATTTTCCTGCCTGCCGTCATGTTTCTTTGTCAGCGCTCACATTTTATTTTAGGTCCCGACTTGGATGCCAGATCGTTATGGATGACAATCTAAACAACATCGAGGTGATGGTCCCTTCCAGCGTCATTGACGCAAGAAGCACGAAGTAATCATGCTGTCATTGGACTTCCTTCATCTGACACGGATGGCGCGCCTTTTGTGAATCGGTTTTCGCTAGTCTAAAATACACCGTAGGAGACAGAAATCTGGCTCAAGCGCTAATTATACTGCCTATGCTGTTGGCTACTGCTAGTAAAACGAGGCCAGTTTACTTGGGGCGCGACTCTGGTTGATTCACATGAAGCCTGACATTTTTTCGCTCCAGGGTACCGTCGTACTGTACGTGCATATGGGCTGTTACATTGCAGAGAAAAATGATAGATCTGATTAGATGGTTTAAATCTCGAAACTTGCCTAATAAGTTTTTGAGTATATATTTGACTAACTGTAGTATTGTATTTACCGTGTTCTGCGGTTGTATAATTCTTGAATTTAACATGCATAATTCTCGGAAACTAGGTTCTACGGCTTAGCGACACCACCCGTTGTTTTTAGGTGCCTAGGGGATTGTTTGAACAGTCCATGACTTTGGTATTTCGGTATATTCTGTGCGTAGTGCAGTTCTCTGATTATTTGTATCTGTCTGTACCCTAATTTTTGCAGATCTTATGAAAGCAGTCGAAAACAGTGGCTGTAAAATCAGCGCTGGGTGAAATTATGGCCAGATGAAAATCTAGCATTTAGTCGGTGTCCTTCCGTCTTTGGCGTCTTATGATGAAAGCAATGCGGTTGTGAACGTCCCCTTTGAAACTCTGCATGTGTCGCATCGTGAGTTCAAGCGATACGTCGAAAACAAATTATATCAAAATCACGTGTCCCTTCCTGATTATCTGCTCTTGTGTACAGGTTTTAAAACTTCTATAGTTCTAGATCAAACGTTAGTTACTTCTGACTTATCCATTTTTTGCAAAGCAGTGGTTTTAAAGGTTACAGAAAATTTTTATGCTGACGTTATGGCTTCGCGCACTGAAGCGATCGCCAGGAATAGGTAATTACTTGTGAGCTGTCCGTAATGACAAATTTTATGCCGGAAGCTGAAACGTCGGATTAAAAGAGAAATTTTGTCACGTCTAAAGTCACTTTCTTGCAAAAGGTGAATATGTTCAATATCATTGTCGTGTACTGGCGTTTCCAAGATATTAGTACTTCTGTATCTGACTGCAACTATCCACACTTGACCTGCAGATAGCCCAGACTTCACTGGATTGTAATAGTAGCTTAAATTAATATCAGATAGCCTCAGCTGTTGCGGCGAAGATCATATTTCTCGTCGCAGTCAAGTCATGTTTCATGAACTGTTGCGACTTTTTTCGAGTGCTTCATATGGCCAGTGGTTCCCATAAATGAAACATTTTGAGCACATTTCCATGCATTTCCGATCATGGTATTAAATCATGTAAAATGACAGCTTCTGAGAGTCATGATCGTCGGCACCCGCTAGTTCAAGATCTGATAATGGCATCGCACTGTAAGGATACTTCCCTGGCAGCACTTTTGGTAACTGTCGAAACGAACTTCGGGGCATTTCTGGACGGCAAATCCTCGCAGAATGTAAATAGGCACCGTGAATACGACTGCTTTCACAGTGGTGATTTTCATTGTCATTCTTATAGTTTTGTTTCTACATGTCATTCGTCAACCCATTCTAATGTGCTAATTCACTTTAGGATAAATGCTTTCATCGTTAGCTCAGGCTGTTACGAGGTACGTGAATTGGTCTTCATTGCTTTCAGGTTCCTTTGTGCCTGTGTGTTTGTTGAGATCATCACCTTGAGCTGTTTGCATAAGTAAGTGGTGTATACTCAGTCATTTGTCTAACAGAGTCAACCTTCTTTCCATTATCACCACATCCACTGAGGTCACGCGTGCTTGGAAGAGAATGGAGTCATTGCTTATGCGATTTAG